TTCAAGCACTTAATTAATAGACCAGATACATTTTTTTTTGCAGCAGTGTTATACTTGCCATGGGCCTTCACATTCATGGGGCAATAAAATCAGTAATGTAAACAGAAATGCCCCAAAAATCTTTGTATGAGAAACGACACATGAATGATGAATTTGAAAGTTTAGAAAGACCTGTCAGTCTTTGTATACCTGTGGTATCTTTGCTTTGTAATTCTTAAATGGTTTCAACAAACTATCTCTTCAAATTTGACCTCCTATGATGGAGCAACCTTTAGTTGTTTCTAGGATGATTTCCTTCTAAGAGCCTTATGTAAATGTAGCTATAGGAATGCTGAGTGCTGCTTGGGCAAAGTTGAACTTCTTCTCTTGAACTGAAGAAACAACATTGTTGTTACATAATCCTTACCAAAATGTTACCAAAGGTGTGTGCCATTGTAACCACATCTTATGTTAGATGTTGGAATATTATATCTTCATTTAAAATTGTAGTTTATGTTACCTGCTTTTACACATGAGAGATGTTACAATTCAAAGTACTGACACATCCATCAGAGACAAAACATCTGATTTGTGTATTCCTGAACTAGAATGTAATGAGCTACATGATCTATGGGTTTTGGGTAGCATCAATAGCACCAGTAATAAATAAAACAACCACAAATATTGGACTGACTTTTGAAGTCCAAAGCAGAGTCAGCAGTCAAGAAGGAAAAGGCTTTTGATTTTCTTCAGGGTGCCAGGGGCAGTCAAGGGTAAGGTGAAAATTTAGCACTTAGTAAAAACAAAACCAATGAACTAAAAGGATGGACAGTGTTCCTTGACAGCTATGCAGCATGGTTTGGAAAATAAGGTTCAGGTGAAAATTGAGATTGAGTCTCTCATAAAGATAGAAATGTTATCATTAACCCCAGCCCTTTTGCCCAGACAGCCTCTCCTTTCAGACTTATAAAATGAGCAATGGAAAGAAGCAATTGCTTTCAAAATAAATACTTATCTGTATAAAAAAATTGATCTTTCCTTTTTTCCAGTGATGAAAGCAAAACAGCAGTTATTTCCATGGTCTTCCTTTGGAGAATTGAGAACCTCAGGAAAGCAAGTTCTTCCAACAGCTGCTGACTTTAGAATTTGCAGTCTGTACACCACTCATGATACTCTATGCAAGAGTGTGCAGCACTCAAATGTGTGTGTCTGTGTATATACACATGCATCTATAAAGCCTGAAGGGTAAGATGATGTGGGAAAGGCTGTGTGAAAAGGCATGAATCCTTATTTTGTGGGCAAGTTTCTTATCCTCTAGATCATTACAAAATTGCCCAGAAACACATACATAATGTGACAGAAAGTGAGGCTTGGATTTCTTGTACAGGTGGTTGAAGCTCTGAATGTTTCACTATGCCCTCTGTGGAAAAAGAATACTTACATTTCAATCTCCTTTTATGAGTTTGTTGTTGTTGTTTTTTTTTTTTTTTTTTTTTTAAATAGGTTGTTTCTGAACACAGAAACATCCTATTTATGTGTAGAAAGCTTATATTTATTAAGTTGACTTGCACAAAATATCTGGAAATAACAAGGCGTAACAAGCTGCCTTTTCTTTCCAGGAACCTTAGACCCAGTGTTTAGGACTTGTAAGAAATAGATGTGCATTTCTTCACCTAATACACTGCATATTTCAGTGTAATTTATTAAGGTGGTTTATTTTTCATACACTTCATTAGAGCACTGTGCTCATACTAACACAGGGGCTGAAGGCAGCAATACTGAAAGAGTTTTACTCCTTATCTGAAAACTATGGCCTTGTAGTTTTTGTGGGAGGTTATTATTTGGTTTTATTTTTAAACAAAGGCTCAAGCACAATTGGCTTAATTGGTCTCCAGTTCAGGATTATGATTAACACCAGCTAGGAACTGTGAACATTTTTAGCCTTTTGCTGGGGCTCAGCTAAGTTCTGTCATTTTAATCACAAGTCAGTTTTTAGAGCACTAGACAGGACAGCACATTTATCAAAGTGTAAAATCAGTTGTTAAAGGCTAGAATGACCCTGACAACCTACAATACAAAAAGGCACATGGGTTTCCTGCCAGAGCTGCCTAGCATATGAACAGATAGATCCTCAGCCCACAAAACTGCTGCCCTTGAAAGCACAGCTGCTCTGTGGTGTTGAATCTGTATTAGATAATCACCTCTGGAAAACAATGCCTATGTGAGTGCTGATATGGGGAACAGTCTGGGACAAAACCCTTATAAACAGAGATCCCACATCTTCATCCCAGAATAATAATCACAATATTGTTTTCACATTCCACTCTTGTAATTATCTCCAAAAGAGTTATATTGGCAAAAAGACCCATTGATTATGATGAAACTGAACATTAGCCTTTTCCTGTTAATAACAAAGAATTAATTGGTAGAGACAGCATGTGTTGTTGCAGTTTTTCCAAAGTCTCACCCCAAGTCAGACAGACAGTAGAAAAAAACTCAGTGCCTTGTATATGTGCAGCTATAGATTGGGGAATGGAACCTCTTTTTAGTTCTTTTTTTGTTTTGTTCTGGTTTTGGGGTTTTTTTGCAGTTACATTAGCACAGCTCTGTTTACTGGCTTATTACTTGCTTCCCCTCCCATGGTCAGGTCAGTGCATGAAATAGCAAGAGTTTCAGACTGTCTCCAGGAAAGAAAGGATCTTGTTATAGTGAAAAATAAAGTCTTGTTAAAATAAAACAGGACTATAAGTCCAGTCACTTCCCTTTACTTAGGCTATGATAAGCCAACACAGTGACTGGCAAAGTTAATTTATAATTGCCCAAAAGATTCCATTTGTACCAGTATGCTGACTGCCTGGAGAACATAAATACTAAATTCTCTTCAAGTTCTCACAGTGCTAGAATCTCATGACCCGACTTTTTTTTTTTTTAATAATATTTGATGGCTCTAGAAATGCATGGAATAACCATTTTACAGTTTGTGACAATACAGTAAAGTGTTGACCTGTCTGCATGGTGAATGAAAAACACATTTTAGGATACAGATGCCTCAGACCTTGCTCTGGCTCCATGGAGAGAGGTGTTGCTGACAAGGCCATAGACATTGCAGAGTACAAGAATGTACATTGCAGTGCACAACTGCCTGCAGCACACTCATTGATTAGCTTTAGATTTTACTAGAGGTGTGTTCAAAGCAAAGGCTCTGGGGCCTCCAGCAGCACCCATTCATATCAGATGCTAGCACATTCCTTCCTGTTTCCTTCTTGTGCCTATGATTGTCTTTCAAAAGTGAGCTTGGAACCAACCAGATGTGATTTGCACTACCATCTCAAACACTGCAACCAAGTCATTAAAAAAAAACTCACATAACCTTATCAGTTTTGTCTTCATGTGTCCCTCCTGGAGGATTGCCTTTACAGAGAATCCTGGTTTGGAAAACAACTCTTAAGACCATTGAGTCCAACTGTTAACTTAGCACTGCTGTGTTCACTGTTAAACCACATTCCCAAGTGCTGCCTCTATTTGCCTTTTGAACACTTCCAGGGATGGTGATTCCTTGGGCAGCCCATTCCAGTGCCTGACTACCCTTTCACTAAAGACATTTTTGTGATAATCCTGTAAGCAGATATCCAAATGAGCATCTCATCCATTGTTTATCATTCTGTTTAAAAAAAAAATCAAACATGAAGTTATGTCCCCAGAGGTTGTTCCTACCAAGGACTGCCCCAGCAGTTTGGAAGCCAGCTGCAGTGCCCACTTGAAGACAGGAGTAGAGTCACAGAGTCCCCTGCATAGCCAAAGCACAAACACCACTGAAAATCAATTTCCCTTGCCTGTCTGATTTCACAGGAATGCATAAGATCCAGGAGATTCTAAACAACTCAGCATTCCATAATTTGCAATTTCATGGCTGATCTCTCCTTTTTTCTCCTTGTTCCAGTTTTTCTTTTTTAAACAAAAAATACCAGAATAAAATACATTTATAAAGACCTTTGAAACAGACTTTGATGATTACTCTGCCTCATGTTTCAGCTAGAGAGCTTCTATTGAAAAAGCAAATCATTATAGTTAAATAAAAGAGGCAGTAGAACACACATAAAAGAACTAAATACCTGCAGAAGTGTTTAACTGTGAGCTGAGAGTAATATTTAACCAAACTGTAAATTTAGTAGTTGAATGCAGCATTTAAGTGGAGACCAGTTTTAGTAACAGAAGTGGGTAAGTGCCTAAACTGTACTGAGATAAAAAGCTCTTGGATGAACACAATATGAGCTATTATTCTCTGCTTTAAGAAACTGGTTATGTTACAAAGTAGCTTAATGGGAGCTTTAATATTTTGAAATTATTAAGAAGATACAATATATACCCAGAGCATTATTTCAGTTTTCTGGCATGCCATCTTCCACCAGCTTGAAGTGTGATACAGAACTTCAGTTTCTTCAGAACCATTTGCACATGAATTATATCAATACACAACCACAGCTGTCACAAACTCCACGTCTTTCAAAGTCACCATAAAGTTTTTGTAAGCTTGAACAACTTGATCAGTCCACATTGCTGCTGTGGACCTGTCTGAGAGAGGGCAACCTCTGATGATGTCTTGGGGTGTGTTGCTGTCCAGCAGTGAGATGATGGGGAAGAAAATATGAGGTTTCCTCCCTTCCTTTCCCATTCCTAAAGCTTGAGTTGCTAATGTACATCCTGCTCAAAGCATACAGCTAATAATGTTTGATTGTTAAATATTGCCCAAGGGTTTCATAGGAAGGTTTTATACATTTTTGCCACTTCATCTACTATTTTTGAAGCATTAACCTCAACATTTTGAACACTACTTTAATATGAGGATGTGATCCATTACCCTGAATATGTGAGACACTTGGACATTTGCAAACATTGGAACAATGCCTCAACAATTTATTTAAATATGACCTGCAAATTATTTCATGGAGAAAATACTTTTTTTTGTATCAAGCAATGAAATAAAGTTTTCTACCAAAAGAAAATCACAAGATTTCTAGAAGTCCATGGAAAAAATAATTTATTGCAATTTCTTTTGCACATTAACATGAAACATTTATACATATATATTCTGTGCTAATAAGATATACTAGATATAGACAATTTTTATACACAAAGTAATTGCACTATTCTATTTTATAATGCAAATTCAGAAATGATCAGTCAGATAAGAACAGATACTATTCACATAAAAATGCACTATATATTAAAGTGAGGAAGGTCTATGCATCTGAAAACTTGTCCACTTTTACTAACTCTATCAGCTGATGAAACACACTATGAGCCTTTCCAAGCTTTACATCCCTTAATTATGTCATGATTCCTAGAATATTACCAGGTCCTCTCAAGGAATAAAATAAGATCATTTCTGAAATTAGACAGACCACACCAAAAGGCAACTGTATCAACCATGTCCCAGCAGCATGCCTTCCAACCCCACGGGCTACATCAGATGAGAATCAATGCACTACGAGTGGTCTAAAATTGTCCAGCAATCTATTACTAATATGACAATTTAATTTAGTTTATATAAATCAATGAGAAACACATTGCAAGTGAACAGTATTTCAGGAGAAGTACATTGGCACATGCTTCAAATGGCAGTATCAGAAAAACAGCTGCCCCCTTCCAATACAGAAGATGTTTATAGTGTCCACAAAGAGAAAATGCAGGATGATATCAAATGAGAAACCTTTTTCTAACCAGGCATTTACAGAGCATCAAGTATTATTCACAAAATTAATGAGAAGCATGGTAATAGCAGAACTAAATGTGATACCATATATGCAATAATTTTCATAATGCTGTTTTAGGTTTTTTTAAAATATCATTCCTTAGGTTCATTGTCCTGCCTATCAACTGAAATATCTATCTTTCAAGAAATGTCATCAATTCACATAACCACAGTACTTCAGAGATGAAGATGAAGATGTGAAGCATCAGATTGAAGTGGTTAGCTGTGGCGTGCATACTACATGGTTTCATTCAACATTATCTGGTGGTAGGAATGGTCACATGACTGACATGCAAAAATGCATATCAAAAAAAGGAAAGCTTGAAATACATGCTCATAGCAAAGGTATAACAGTACCAACAATAAGGACAAAAAATTAGCAAGCAAGTCTGGAGAAAAACGGTATGACTTGAGGAGCAGGGCAAAAGACAATGGTACTGCACATGGCAATGGGAGATACAATGTAAAAGAACATCCATAACATAACCTTACTGCCTGGCACCCTACTTGGAGACAGTATTGCACCCTATTCAGCGTCCTCTTCCTCTTCCCTCAGCTCAGAAAGCATCTTGCTTTGTTTCCTTGAGAGCATGGAAGCAGAATTTGAGAAGTAAGGAATTTTCTTTGAAGCAACAACAGGTGGGTTAATGCAGTGACAAAATACATTTTACAACTTGCAACCAGTATCAGTAAATAGTAAAAACTAAAGAAAACCAAAAAGCATAGGTAGTGCATGTATTTCTTTCATATATATTGTATGTAGGAATGAAACAATTCCTACATGTCCTGGTGAACTACCAGCTCTGCCTGAAATATTTCAATTTGTTCCCACCAGTAATGTGGGAACAGGGCAGAAGAGAGAGATATAAAAAACTGGAGAGGGAGTAAAATTGCAGTCATACATCTGAGGTTCTTGGCAAGATTTATTTTTTACAACAAATCTGTTTCTCGAGAGAGAAACTTCAGTTGAACCTCAAAATAATGAAGACTAATAATTAATTTTATGCAAACAAGCAGATGCAAAGTGAATAATTGCTCACATTTGCTTTGTTGTATGTGTATTTCTGATGCAATTCTACTTATTGCTGTACTGGTATCATGGAAGAGATATCAGAGAAAAAGGTGAAGGAGCAGCACTCCAAACCAACACTTATTCTTGTAAATTAGGTCTTTCTTCAGAAGTAACTGCCTCTCATGGGGACTGATATTAGAGATGTCAACCCAAGAATCAAGTTTGAGGCATGCTGAGCTGCTTCAGCCCTATCATTTTCTACTGGCCTAGTAGAGAAACAGTGTATTTTTACCCTTGGTTTCACATCTCTTATGGCATCTGTAAACATTCTGTCCTTTTTCCTCACCGTGTCCTTATTAATGGTCTTCAGAGTAAAATATGCTGATAGATTTGAAATGCTGAGCTAGTAACTCTCCAATGGATATAATGAAAAGAAAAATACATCACTAATGTGCATCGATCCTAGATTGAAGATACTGGAGCTAGAAAACTTCACAGTAAAAGCATAGTTAGCAGAAGTGTCTTCAGGATGATTTAGGAAATATTTTCATGCTTACTTCTATATGCAATTTCTTGCAATATTCTGCAGTGGCCTATCATGAAGTTTACCATATAGTTTCTGAATATATTTAAACATGCCCTTATTTATTGTCATCTACAGTCCCCCTGTACATAACAATAAATGGCACTGCACACAATAATACATTAGCATTCTGAAAAAAATTCTGGAAAGAAAACCAAGATTACATGTGTGCATGAAGCAAAGTGATTACTTTAAAGTTGATTATCTGATTTCTGCTTTTGGCACAGCCTATAAAGTGCCAGAAAAAAACATAAAGAGTATGTTCACAGGAGAAATAGTTCAGAAAATCTTAAAGAATAAAATTTTGTGCATTTTCTGTGTATGGACAGATAAAATTGTGCAGGCAGCGGAAAAGAATCAAAAGGTTAGAGGAATATATTCTTTCACTTTTCAAAATCACTTCTGACAAAATGATTATCAGTTCACATCATCACATCAGTGTATTTTTCTATTCTCCTATGCTCCCAAACTTAGTACAATTTAGAAGAGATACCTGTCCTGGGAGAAGTCCTTCTGTCTCTAAGAATTACGTCTATATCTGAATTTCAGAATTAACAAAAACTAACAAAATTAGAAAGGCTTTTTCAGTGTGCTTAAACTGTGAATCTTAAATGCTCCTGAAAATCAGGCTCACAATATTTCTCAGTCAGGTTTATTCCTGCCTCCATGTGTCCCTCTACAAAGCTCTATTACTGGATAATAGTATCAGCAAGTGTCTCTCAAGACTGCTGTGAGGATTAAGAAAACCAGCTGTTGTACAATATCTCTGAAAGTCCTAAACTACCTGAACCTTATATTCATACTAAACATGTGTTGGGCTGAAACAAGGAAAATACCCATCTGACTCAGTACCTCTCTGAAATTTACATTTAAAATTATAGTGTGTCTTGAAACAAATGATAGGACATTTATAAGGCAGAAAAAAAGTGAAAGGTGTTTAATTAAAATGTATTTTAAATACAACAACAGATTTTAAATAATGGTAGCCATGTGAAGTTATCATACTGTAGAATAAGAATAGAAAAGTATTCTCAAAAGTGGCACCCAGAATATAATTGTAAGTAATATATATTCAAATACAGAATTAAAATGCAGAGCTAAAGTCCAGAGGGTTAATACTGGGAGTTACCATTAAAAAGTCAATATTCATATACTTGTGTACCAGTGGTAATAAATCTGGATTAGATCTCCTAAAAAGCCTAAACAGCTTAAGAGCCTAAATTACACTTTCAGAAGTACATGAGCATTCAGACACATAACTAATTTCCTCTGACTTACAAGAATTATTTCGGCCAAGATGACTGATGACTTTCATTATTTTAGTCAAGGGTGTTTTTAAGTTTAAATACATAGTAGAAAACTCATTCTTTTTACTCTTCAGGGCAAAATTCAAGCTATGTAAATTACTTTTATCTTTTTTTTTTCTTCCTGTTGACATGTTGGATGGATTGTATGCACCTGCTCAGCTATGGCAAAGCAGCTGGCATACTGTAACCTCATTGCCTAAGTCTGTAGCACACTTTGAGTCTAGATCTCATTGGCTTTTACTGAAATTCTGGATAATACATGCCCAGAATTATGAAACTGAGGCATAAGCTTAAAGGTCCCCCAGTGCTTGAAGAGCTCTACCTCACCTCATTTTGAGAAGACAACTTAGGCTGATATGCCATATACCAGAAGTAGTTTTCACCTGTGTATTTCTAAAGCAGGACCTCTGCCATGCAACAGTGTCTGAACAAGCAGGGGCCATCTGGGGTTAAGAGACCACCACACACATCAGGTGTGAACCTGCTTGCAAATAGTTGTTTGACTGTTGCCTAAAGATTTGAAAGCACATTTTTTCACTCACTGCAAGAAAGCAAATGGCAAATTTTGAAGTACTGGTAACCAGACATGTCAGCTAAACAGAAACCGACATTATATAGCAAAATCTAGTACAGTGCAGAAATCTGTAAGAGGGAGATATAAATATTTAAACACTTGGCATTCCCTCAAGGACTTTTTGAAATCAAAAGTACTCTTTCAGGAACTGCACAAACTGCAAAGACAAATAATCAAGGATTTTCAAGTACTGTCAAGATAATAAATGTGTTAATGAAAGAGTGTTGCACAAAAGTCGTCATTTTTTTTCTGTGGAACATTTAGTTTTGCAAATGTAAATGTATCTCCATAGTTTAGATTAAATTTTTAATGTTTATGTTTGGAAAAAAACAAAATTACACTCTAGTTACTCATACCTCTGTCTCTGTACTCTTTCTGGACAAAAACCAAACCTGCATTGGTTCTTTTTTGCCCTTCATAGAAACTGGACCTCTGTACTCCAGGTGGAACTGAGGATCTGAATTTTCTGGTGTCATAAGACACCTGAAATTGAAAGAGAAAACATGTAAATGAATGGACTTTGCATGCATGCCACAAACTATGCAAAATATTAAACATGCTACATGTATGTGAGCAGACTACCAAAAGATTCAACTCCATCTCTACATCATTATTAAATTTGCAGACCAATAACTGAGTATCATAATGCAGTTTGCCATATAGCTTCATGAGAACTCACATACTTAAATAATGGTTGCAGGACTGTCACTTTCAACTCCAAAAAACCTTTATGGTATGCTGACAAAGTGATTTATTTTAAGATGTCAATACCAATAAAAATAATACATCACTCACCTGTAAGTATATTCAGAGACATTGATCTTTCCCTTTTCTCCAGTAGTTTCTGTTCTGCTTGTAAGATTGACTGTATTTCCAAAGAGACAGTACCGTGGCATCCTCTGACCTATGACACCCGTGACTACTTCACCAGTGTGGATTCCTATGGTTATCTTTAGAGAGAAAAAATTAGGTCTGAATATTCAAAAGGAACGTTATTAATCTGATGCCTCTGACTAAACACAGGCAACATGCTATTTATATCTACTAGAGCTTATTTTTCCAAAGTGCTACTCCTGCTTGTTCAAAGCCTTGCATTTTGTGGGTTTTGTCACTTCTTTGTTTTTTAACTTTAGTACAGTGTCATGCCTCTGCCTTCCACGTGAACAATCAAACTCTGTAATTTTCCAGCATCCACCCTGCTGTTATTATGTACTGTGAAAATAAAAAAAGAGGTGGGCAGAGAGGCATACTCTGCAGGTCTGTGTTTAATGACTGCTCAGAAGGTGCAGAAAAGGATGGCACAGGTCAAGAAAAAAGATATTTCTCAAAGGAAAAATCATGGTATTTTGTATTCAGAAGGTCAAGAGATAGGACAGAGGTTTGGACAAGCTCATTCTAGTAGCACATTACAGTTACTGTAAAGCCCCAAATCAAACCTTCTCACTGCTTTGCTCCATGACAAAGTGAAGTACACAGCTCTAAGCTAGGTGATAGAACAGCAGCATTCATGTAAATAGAAATATGCATTGCACTCATTAATCATTTTCTGCTCACAGCCTTCTGATGAGGACAGTCAATGCTGCTTGCCCAGCTCTGTATCAGTGCTACAGCATCTCCAGAAAGTCCCACAATGAGTGAAATTCCACTAATATACACTGGTGTCAGCAATCATTGCTGTACCTGTCTATGGAACTGCAGTTCTCTTTTTAATTTTTAATGCAATAATGTCTCATTCTGACATAAGGATCTGAGGCATGATGAAAAATATCAGGGAGGGAATATTATTTTTCTACTCCTTGAGTTGAATAAGACTCAACAGATTATACTTGATGCACAATAAGAATTCACTGATTATATTGAAATTATCAGAAAAAAGACATAAATGATGTGGACCTAAATAAGTCCTTTACCCTTTAAAGCACAATAAGCATTTTAAGGTCTAAGAACTGGACACATCACAGCTACATATGACTTCTCATATTATTTGTATATATCAGTCTCAAAATCTACACAGTAACAAGGCCCATGGACTGTGACTAGAGCATTATCTTATCCAAAAACATTATCATGCTCTCAAAGAAGGGGTTTTCATTCAAGCCCACATTTACTAACCTGTACAGGCTCACCATCTACTTGAACTTGGCCTGCAATTTCCATCATATCCAAAGCCAGGTGGCAGATAGATCGTGCATGATGCATGCAAGGCTCTGGCAGACCACTCACTGTCATATACTTGTCCCCAACTGTTTCCACCTATCAAGACAGATATTTTTCAATTACTTCATTATTATGGTTTTTAGAGTACTAGAATTGATGTAGTGCTTCAAGACTGCTTGTCCTCTGAAAAACTTCCCTTTCCCTTTCATTCAAATCACCCTAATTACTGTCATCTCTTCTTGTTGTTGAAGGTGATTTATCATAAACCCACAATGTAGCAACTTACAATGACTGTGATTGTGTAAACCTGAGTCTCTCTTCTGGTGTCTTCTAAATGAAACTGAGCTCTATGTTTGTTCTGACTCACACTCTTAATTCACATGGTACAGGACACAAAATTCAGTTCTAGCAACACCTAGGAATGAACCTCATAGATATAAACACACAAGCAAACACATATACATATTTATGGGACGCATATATATCTATCTCTGTACCTTCCTGCTACCAGCCACATTTGCAACTACACCTCACTCCTGAAGTGAATGAAGGAATGAAATTCACATTGAGTAACTGAATAGTAAGTCATAATTTACAATTAGAAGACTCAGGAACAGAACTGAAAAACTTAAAGCACAAGGTCAGAAGAACCACAAATGGCTTGTATGAGTTCACATCAGCTAAATGTGGAAGTACATTTATATGTCCACCTAATGGGTGACTGCAGAAATCATGATGAGAACTTAGCACTTTATGTTCCTTCAGACATTTAGAGATAACCAAAATACTCTTCTGTAGCTATCTAACATCAGGTAAAACAGTTCAGACTGAGAACATAAGTTGTTTTTTTAATAGCCTAAAATCCAAGAAGATTGGATTTTGCAATAGCTTAATGCTATGAAGTTTTGTTTTTGTAATTTACCATAGTATATTATAGAAAAGTAACAGATTTGATACTTCAGAAATCTTATGCTTACCTTATAAACAAATGGATTCCTTCGTGAATCAGTCAGAATATCAAATCTTGTGTAAAGATCATTTAAAAGATTGACAATTTTCATGGCTCCCTCTCCAGAGGCATGTTTGCTACAAAAGGCATTGAATCCCACAATGCCACTGAAGAGAATGGTGACGTTGTCGTAGCGCTTGGCTGGAACGGGGCGCTTGTGTCTCAGCTCATTTGCCACTGATGGTGGCAGAACAGAGTACAGCAACCTACACAGGCAAGGAAAGAAAGGCAAAAGTGAAAAAAGAGAATCTAGAGAAAGGTGTTTACAGCAGCACTCTTCACATATGAACTTCCTACCCCCCACAGCGTTTCTAACACACTCCTACCATCAACAAGCAATAGAAAAGGTGTTTACTGAATTGTATGTTATTTGGAAAACAGGAAGTGATCTACATCAGCATACCATTTCAAACACATGAATATACATCTAAATTATCAACAAAATGAGACATGTTATTAATTCTTCTGTCATGATTTGTTAGTAGTGCCTTGGATCATTTTTACTTCTTTCTGCCACATCCTCAGCTCATATAATATGGTTTTTCTCATAGAACCATAAAAACTGCAAAAAAGACCATGAAGAGATCAAACAGTTTTCCATCTCTGATCAATTAATGCATGTCTAAATGCTTCCTCTCTATTGAGCATGCTGTTTTTAGGGTCTAGAGTGTCTTTTTAAAAGTAGTCTATATGATGTATTAACACTTGTTCATATTATAAATTATGCAAATAAAATCCAATCACACACACAGAAATTCACCCTATTCTCATGTGTCTTTCTTCAACTATCTAACTCCTATCTTAAGGTCCCTTTCCCTCCTGAAGATCTCTGGCTGTTCCACAAATCTTGAACATCAGCCTCCTGCACAATCCCTCATTAGTTGCATTTTTGGCAAGTTCACTACTTGAGTTATAATTAGTGAATACTTTTGGCACATCACACAGTAAGTGACACTATCTGTTCCAGCAGCTGCCATGAAGGCAAGAATTCCTGAAGATAAAATGACTTTATAAAGTAAGCCAACAGGAATGAAGAGAAAAAATACTTCTTAGGCTTTGTTTTCTCTGTTTCTCCTATCCATCCCTTTCAAGTATTTTTAAAATAATTTCCATTACAGAAAAAAACATATCTATCAATAGAATTAATACAGAGATGGGACTGTGTTTTATAAATAGGAGTCAATCATGAACTCCATGCTACTTTCCACAAAAGCTTTATTTTAATTTGCCAGTCATTGTTGAGCTGAAATGCCATAGACTAATGACTTTTGAAATTGACTTTATAGTTATCTGTAGTACAGTATTTGGGGCCCAATGCACACTTACTGTTACGTGTTATTTTTATGTACATATATCTAAATAAACCCAAATTCATTTCTACAAGTAACTACTACATCAAATTCATAGCATTAAGTTATTCCAAAGTTTCAGCTTTACACAAACTGTTTTCAAGGTTTATAAGATACGGTTTTCTGTTCTATTATCCTGTGCCAGAAAGACAAAAGTTGGTTTACTGAACTCTGTCAAATAACAGCACTTGGGCATTCATCAAATTCACCTTTGCTACAGTGACTGCATGTAAGTTTCCAAAATTTTAGGTAATTCACAAGTAAAAATTAATTGTCAGCTCATTTTTTATGACTTTCCTTGTCAGGGAGGGAGCCATCAAAACATCTCGGCATATAATGGCCTAGACTGTGGGTGACATTTGACAATCTAAATAAAGAAATACCCTATTAAATGTTCTTTCTCGTCTCCAAAATTACCAGTCCTGATTATCTCTGCTATTCCTTACAAGATTCTGTTATTCTTTAAAGAAGGTAGCTATAAATAATATATTGCTCTGAGTGTTTCAGCCCAAACTGGGATTTGGTTCTTACGTGTCTGTCTTTTTCTTTTCATCCTCCAGTGCACGCAGTGTGTGCTGCAGTCGGTCGGTGAGGATTTCAAGCTCCTGGGTCAGTTTATATTCCTCTCGGAACTGCTCTCCCAAAAGAACCAGATCACGGGTAGCATCATGCAATGGGATATCACTCAGATATAAACCTCTCCTGGTTAAATCATCCAAGTTCATCACACTGCAAAGCAGAGGAATATACAATAATATGGGTAAAATGAAACTTGCCAAAGGAGCGCTTAAAACTCAAATAAACAGCAGTCTGCTGAATAACAGGAGAAAGATGAAGCTTCTGAACTTGTGATGATCTGTACAAAATATCCCTTCTAGGAAACACCTTATTTGTGATCATTCATTTTAACCCACAGCTCTTGATTTTTGTGTTTAAATACAGAATTCTCACAAAGAGTTCCATGAGCATATCAAATGCATGTACTTCAGCATACAAAGTGAGATTATGTAAAGAATCTTTCCATTCAATCCTCCATTCCAACCACTTCTTTATCACCAATCTATTACATTAAAACTACTGCAAAAATACATGAATCCACACAGAAAAACAAATAATTGTCACATTTCTTAGCATTCTCAGAGTAAAAAACAAAAGATAAAACTTGCTAAAAAAACCAGGAATATGAGGAATAACCATTTGTACAAACTGGGCCAGAGCAAGCCAATGTTTATACTGAGTATTTAGTACTCAGCCAAGTTTCAATGTTTAAATGCTCCTACCTCTTTTAATATAAACACATCAAAACCAATTAAATCAATACTTGAACCAATTAGTCTCTGTAGTACTACTCTCATAAGTGTTCTTAAAATTAGGAATTGTAAAATAAAAATCAGTATCATAGAACTCTCTAGGTTTGAAGTACCTTGGTGAACAAAGAAAGAGAATGCTGTCTGCTTCAGGCAAGTAGATCATTTGCCCTTTCAGGCGTAAGCAGCTGATTTCTGTGCCAGTCAGTTCATCTTCACACTCCAACTTTTCCACATCCAACAGCCCCTCCTGGTGATGAAAAGCCACCACTGTGTAAGGGCAATGGTGTGTTATGCACCAGGCCTAGTCTGTAAGTGCATTCACTACAAAGGCAGTCAGAATATTTGGAATAGACTTACAGCTTACATTAAGCCCTGATTAACTTTTCGTTTGAACACCATGCACTGTCTATAATTTAATACAATGATTTGCTACCTTGAAGACACAAAGCATGGTATCTTTCTTTACATTCATGTTCATAATTCTTTGTTTTCCACATTGCTCCTTAACAATAGTTTTGACAATAGTATAGCCTGTTCTGTGAAGTTCTATCTGTGCCTGGGATCATCTCTAAGAAATCATGCTGGTTTCTCTCAGGTACAGTTTTCTTTAAATAAACAGGCTCCTTGATGTAGTAAGTGTTACCCTACACACTGCATCTGCTCATATCACACACCTTGTCTCCTGCCCTCTTTAGAGAACAGGACACAGACCTTTGTATGAACATAGGGAGCCCAAGCAAGAACATATTTTATATTTTTCTCCCACACTCTTATGAAGTAAATGTAATCACCTGTCTACCTTTGCTTTGATACAACACACAAACTAGACTGGCCCCGTGCAGAGCAGGCATCATGCATGAAGTGTGTTTCCTTCACTGTTCCTATAAAACATTCTGCTTAACAGCTATTCACAAATTCATACCTGTGACTCACTCTTGGCTCAAGACTCAAAAAGGTCTGGGCATACTACAGAGAATTTTCTCTGAAGACTTCTGAGCTTTCTGCACTTCTTATCTCTCCAAAGCACACTTCCTAAAAGAACAACTGGGAAAATATTCTCTAGTTACCTTAGTCCTCAGTACGAAGACTGTATTGATATGGGAGAGGATCCCATGGAAGCTAATATCAATATGAGGCCGGACCAAGGAGAAAACTGACAGCAGACTGCAATTTCCTGGCTGCAGCTAGAATATTAAAAACAGAAAAAAGGAAAAAAACACCCAACTGTTATGGTTTATAATAAAAATATACCTAGAGCAATTATTTTCCATTTTATTAGATGACAATACTGAATAGAAGAGATTTATGCATCTCTCCACTGAATCACAAGGTTTTCGAATTATTATCTTACTGCATATGGACATGACCATAAGGAAAAAAGCTGTTGTAGAATTAGGTTATTTTCAAGTTCTTTTTCTAACAACAGAAGCACAATTTAGTAAATATTATACAGTTACATTGGAATGCTGTTCAGACAGAGAATCCTAAATCTGTTTTATTCATCTTTATAATTAACCTGTGAAGCATCTATCATTATGAATTTTCTATGGCTATCCATGCATAAGAATCATCTAACCTGTGGAAGGACTCTGTATATAGCATTGCCACATTGTGTGACCACCAGATCTCTGTCAAATATGATGTGGAAAGGAAATGCCTTGCAGAAAGTGTAGGGACTGATGCGAGACTCTTGGGTACCATTTTCTTCAAATCTGTCAAGGTCCTCATAGTAGTCCTCTTCTTTAGATTCTTTCTCTTCAATTAAAAATTGAATGTGGTCACACTCCTCATTTCTCTGTTGAATAACCTAGAGAAATGAAGAAAAAAATGAAAAACTGAAAACTCTGCTACTCATTAGCAACTGGAGTGCTACTATGGGGACAGGAATGTATTTAGAGGAGAAAGATAAATTCAAGAATTATATTCACATGTTGAAAAATACCATATTCTAGTAAGAATTTCTGATTTCACAGTCTTTGTAATTACAGGTGAATAACTATGCCTTTGCTTAGCCACAGTTGCTCTCTACAAGAGCAACATGTTGAAGATCACCCAAATACAATTTATTAAGCCTGAGTGAAATGCAAATCCTGAAACAAGGGGTCAAGGCTCAGGTTGTGCTTGCTTTTCTTCTTGCCAAAAAACAGGGTGGCCCCTTCCCCTGAAATGAACCTGTGTGAGCTTTGAATCCAACAGAACCCCATAATCCTTATTTTGATCAAAGTTGTTTGCAAGGTCTATAACACAACAGCAAATAGTGCTGACTGTTTAGTGATGACTAAATAGTGCTAAGAGGGTGGGTGTGTCACTGACAACAAGAAGGAAAGTGCATGGAGCACATGTTAGGATATACAGTCCTCATACATCCCAGCAGACTGCAAGATCAGAGCCAACAGACAAAACTAAAAGCAATCCTCTCTGGGCTGTATTCCATATTAAAGGAAATCACAGCAAAACTAGAATCATCTACATCAGTGGAATATCAAAAAGGTGTCCTTAACACAGCATTACACTCTTCAGTAATTTTACTCAAAGTTAGTAAAAAATATGAAATTAATAGGGATTAGTTTGTTTGCAGCGAGAGTCCTGTATGACAATATAATTTAAGCCAATAACTAGTAGAATAACATCATTCACCCTGAGAAGCTAAATCCACCTCTTTTCAAATTTAATTAGACTTAATGATTGGAAAAGAACAATTCTAATTCTATTTACATAGTATTGTTTAGCAGTGTTTTTCTGGAACATGTTCCACCTGATTCTACTTTCATGTTGACTCTGATCCTAAAGTCACTGAAGCAAAAAAAAAAAAAAAAGACTTCTTAAAATTTCTAAAGCATCCTGATTTTTCCCTTTACACATAGTCTTAACCACAGAGATTAACAGTTACAATTTGAAAACAGAATGCACAAACACTGCATCTGATCCCAGAGATGTTAAGTTTATTAAATATTTCATATCCAAAACTGCCAAAAATAGTACTTGATGGGCTAGGGAGTGCTGATGCCTTTATTTGCTCCTAAACAAATGGAGGAATGTAAAACAACAAAACAGTATTTTATTGTTAAATGATGATTAATTTAAGGTGGCAGTGCTCTTTGATCTACAAATAGACTGCTCATTTGAAGGAAAGAGAGGCTCTTCTGGAGGTCATTTAGAGGAAGAGGCCAATTTAGGTGCTCTATAGCTGTGTGCTGCATTATTCTCCTCTTTCTATTGCTTATGTAAGTAACTTAGAGAAAGATCAGCCTACTAAATTTACCAGCTAATGTAGGTACCCAAAGCTGGATGTAAAAATAAATTCAAATGTTGATGATGAGAAAACCTAACTGCCTCAAAAACTGTACTGGTAATCCACATCTCAGTGTATGACAAAGAAAAGTGGGAAATTATGACCTAAGAAGGGGTAAGCCTCAGAAAAAATGAATGGTGGTCATCTGAGGAAAACATATTAAGTGGGTCTGTCTAGGAGAATGGAACATAGTAGATGAACACCTAGTTTTCCTCTGAATTCAGAATCTAAAGGTTTTCTGCATCTTCCTTTTAAATCATTATCCCTGAAATTGTGAGAGACTGTGGTCATACTGAAGATTATCAGAAGGCAGTCAAGAGTCTTAGTTCTTACTTTCTATCATTCATGCACACTCCCACAGGTTTTATTTTAACAGTACCATTATTGTGGCCAGAGAAAGCTGAGATTACACACAGAAACCTTTTTGAAATTGTGAAGATTTATCTCTAGAACTGATCTATGCTTCCAGATTATTTCCAGTCTTGCATCTTACTTTAAAGTGTTGCTCTTGCCACAAATGGAAAAAAAACCCTGCATATTTTGGATAAAAACCTTCTTAATTCAGCAAAGCTGATTTTAAAGAAGCTAATAATTTTTAAGGAAATGTTTATATTAACAACACATCACCTTCCAGACAGATTATCTCCTTATAGCCATCTTAGTCACTGCACACTAGTATTCTGTTACCAACCTGTACTTACAGACTTTTTCCTGCTACAATGCAGCATTTAACAGGTTGCTTTTAATAACTTCCCATTTTACTTCATTTATTATAAATGAATGATGCATCAGTGAACAAAACTCAGGCTTAGATTAAGAAAACTACCTATAAAAATAGAACTGCTACATGCTTCCAGACATCTAGCTAGTTTGAGCCATGACCCTCTGCAGATCCTACAAGCTCACACAGTGACAAAGTCAGTCCTCACACATGCTGTGCTATTTTCCTAACCTTTACAGATTAGAACTGTGTCAGTAACAGTGAAAAGCTGCAAATTTCCCAAGCATCTTCAAGTTCATTTGAAACACTATTTTTGACCAGACTCCAGGGCATCTAGAAATGCCTGCTGTATTAGTGCAACATGCTAGTGCAGCAAATGAACACCAGGCCAAACACATGGACATGTGTCAGACCTACAAGGCAGACAGAGCCAGCAGCACATTCCTGGTAAACATGATATGCTGTGGACATGGCTGGTTTATGCAATTTTGTTCTGATCATTTATGCACAGACACTTATTAACAGATGCTTTAATCATACCCCTCTCCAGGCTACAAAATCTACTGATGCATCCCTAATTAACTTCCCAATGGATATGCAATTTCATTATGTCCTTTCTGCTCACACAACTTATGAACTATCTAATCTTCCTATCTCATTACGTCATTCAGCTTGTCAGCAAATTCAAAATTAGCACTTTTGACTGTTAATTTAAGATGTTAAATTCTGTTCCTTCACCCTTGCACCTATAGATCCAAACTAACTGGACGGGTATTTGTTTGGCATAAGGACCTGCTCTAGATATTCCGATAAGCTTAAGTAGAATAGAACTTATCTACTGTTTCATTCTGCAAGCAAAGTTTGCAAGCCACACAATTTCAGTATCATTTAAATATTGTTGAAGAAGCCTCTGATAAATGCTTGACAAAGCAAAGTTCAGTCACAAAGCAACAAAGCCAGCAATCAAGCCTAATTCTTCCTCCCCCTGCAGTCTTAGCTGGTGAAGTGACATCAGTTCACAATGTCTAAGAGCTCAATCACCATAGTAACTGCAGTTAAAACTGCAGTTTTAAGGGTGAAATCATTCTCTTGGTTTCAAAGAGAATATATAACATCTTACTGCTAACCTGCCTGTGCCTTCCAGGAGATGTAGCTCCAGAGTTTGTCCTTTCCTAATCAAGTGAAACGTCACACCAATATTTCAGGGAATGACAATTGAGAGAGAAGTTATTTTAAAATGAGTGTGGTTTAATGTATTTGGTGAGCTTCACACAAGATATTAAATCAAGAAGTACTGCTGTGATACAGAATATGTAATGAGCACATGCTATCTGTTAAGCTGTCACTATGTGTCTACAAGACTCAATTCTGTAGATCTGAGCATATCCCCAGGACACACTCGTATTTCAGCATGGCAGGATAGAATGTCCTTGGACAGGGCTCTTTTTTTGATGAGATTGTGAAAATTAATACGCAAAACAGAGGGGTTTTGCCCTTTAAAGGCCAATACAGCATGAAATTTTTGATCTCTTCTGATCAAAACTGACTGTGCAATGCTGCTTAACAAAGTTTGCTGTAGCTGCTTGAGAATGATCCCAAAACAAAGGAGTTCACTGCGGAAATGGCAGTGGAAAACTTTCAGTTTTGCATACCCAAAGATAGAACCATGGGGATATCTGTCCCTGGCAGCTGGCTTCAGAGCAGACTGTCTCACTTCACCAAACCACTGTGCCTGGAGATAGTGAAGTTTACAGCTGCCCCAGTGCCAAAATTAGAGACTGACCATGCTCCATGACTGACTTATCTTCACGCACAGTTAGCATTGTAGTGTGTGGACCAGTATTGCTCGTCTTCCATGACAAGTACCCAAGTATTTTTTAGACCAGCTCTCCAGCTGGTCACATCTTCACTTTGTTTTTTCACACTGCCATTAGTAAGCCTGAAATTACCATCTTGTCAAGGACTTCCTCTGTTCTTTTCTATTTTTATATTGTAAAACATCTTCCCGATGTAAAAGATTTTGATAGTCTGCTCTCAAATAACAGAAATGCAGAAGTCTGCTCTCCCAACAGTTCTTTGGGCTTTGCTGGACTATGTACAACACTCTTTGTTGACCATACCATTAGTAGCCTTGAGGGAATCCCAGTCCTGACTTCACCTTCACAGGTCACCTTCATTTATATACAAACAACCTCTGACAAGTGAAGCAAGAGAAGGCATAGCCAGTAGGCTGCTAACAGAGATCTCATGACAAAGTTTGTCACCAGCATTGTGATGATTTTTTAGTTCTCATACTGAGACTGGCAGAACGTGAACATTCTCAGCACATACACAAAGTCAGCAACAATTTTTGAGACAATACCTGCTGCAAAAATGATTTAGTCTTAGCTCTATTTGCTAAAAATGGATTACCATATCAGAGAAGATAAGGAAAATTGGATTTGAACTAATTAATCAATTAATGTCAACTTGGGCTTTCCGGAACTATTCAACCGGAATTTTGAATCCAAGTTCAAAACAAATTGGTTTCCTTTCAGGGCTAACAACATCTAACAGAAACAAAATTACACTTCCCCCCAGCCCCATCCCCTCTTTCCTTCTGCATGCACATACTCTAGGTGTTAAAAGAGAATGTACACTTCCTGAAGAACACCATTCTGGAAAAAGGAAGCCCTGCTTTATTTTAGAAGAAGATGTATGGTTTTAGATATATATAGATATATATATATATACACACACACAAAATTGTTCTGTGTGAGGCTGAAGAAGGGTGATAGAATTAAAACTTTTTTTCTATTCGGCTATTTCTCTACCAAAAGAAACAATGTGAGACAAAACAACAGTTCTTTAATATTTAGTTTCCTCTTGTGATCATTAGCTGGTTTTCTCTGCAGGTTGAAGAAGGTGATCCTTCTCCTCTCCTCAGCACTGGAAAGGTCACATCTGGAGTGCTGTGTCCAGCTGTGGGTTCCTCAGCACAAGAGAGATACAGAGCTAGGAGACAGAGTCTACTCCCTCTAGGGAGGGATGCTAAGATGATCAAGGCACTGGAGCATCTCTCAGAAGAGGAAAGGCTGAGACAGCCAGCACTGTTCAGCCTGGAGAGCAGATGGACAAGAGGCAATGGGCACAAACTGAAACACAGGATGTGTTGTCTGAACATCAGGAAACACTTTTCTACTGTGAGAGAAATGGAGCACTGGCACCTGTTGTCCAAATAATTTGCAGAGTCTCCATCCCTAGAGATAGCTGAAAGATGTCTGAGCATGGCCCAGAACAACTGGCCCTAGGTGGCCAGGCACGAGCAGGTGAGGTTGAACAAAATGGCCTCCAGAAGTTCCTTCCAACCTCAGCCATTCTGTAACCCATGAAACAAAATCTAACCACTTAATGAAACAAAACCAGCATTATCAAAACCAATTAATCTCTGCTACCACCTATACGGATTGTAATGTATTAGACAAATTCAACCAAAGTTTCCTGAAAATACAGAATTAGAAGCCTGTATTCTCTCAAGCAGATTTATATAAGCATTTCTTTAAAACAGATGGAGAAGAAAAGTGGATAACAAAGTCTTAAACATCAAATTGCAAATATCAACATTATACTAATAGAAAGAGAACTGCAGAACTTACTAAGTCAGTCCTGTATTGGACTGTCATGTAAGATGTTTGGATAAAGACATTTGAAAGGACAACTCAGAATCTTTCTGCAAGTCAGAAGACAACTCCTGTAATAACACTGGAAACTTTGAGCTAGGCACTGAGGTTTCTATCAGATTAAAAAAAAACCCCATTCTTCCTTAAGCAAAACCAAAAATTTTACAGTAGAGGCACTGATTGGTCCACAAAACCTGAAGGAATTAAAAGCAATTCCATTGTTCTTCTGTGCTGTGCTGTTTCAAACAATACATTGCTAACAGACTAAAACACAACAGCATTAATTCACTAAATTATGAGGCAGAGAATGGAGATGAAGTTGGTCTACTTTTTCTCCTATTCTCAATATTTTGAACAGTGAAGCTACCTACTTATTACAATGCCAGACTTTACTTTAAAAGTAATGGTACTTCACTCCATACCATTCCTGATTAATATCTGACCTGTGGAGTAACAGAGGAAGACTTCAGCATGTGTGGATAAGCTGCAAATTTCAGGGTTTTTTTTTCATTTTTAGAGAATAAATTCTCTCCTCATCTACCCCTGAAGTTTGCGAGTACCTGTGGAGTACAGCAGTGTGTAATGTCCTAGAGATGTCAAGACATAGGCTTTATTAATCAGGAGAGGCGTGAAAATGTTCAGGGTTAAGGGTACAACAGGGAGAAGTTTAAAACTGGGGTAACAGACAGAATAAGACAATATAAACTTTCTTCAGTTTAGAGTTTAATACTATTTTTAGGCACCTATGTGCTTCTACCTCAGACAGTCTAGAAGAACAGTGTAGGTTTAAATTAGACTTTGCATTCATTTCCAGTAGGTTTGACTAATAGTATTAAATACCTCTTTACTTACAGTACAACTGTAAAATTTCCAGAAAAGCCTAAAACAGTCACATTACAATAAGAAGTAATTATATAATAAATATTTAAACCTCTTTAGAACATATATTATTTGTGAGAAGTTCTAGATAGATATTAATACAATTTTCTCAGCAAAGTAACCTTCAGATTGAGAGGATAGTTTATCAAAAGTTTGTGTTGCTTTGGACAACCCAGATTTCTCCTCTGCCCCATGGATCACTTTTGCCTCTTTGTGAACCTCTGAGAGACAGGACTGTAAGCCAGGTAAAGGAACACATGAAGATTAAAAAATCCAAAAAAGAAACCCTGTTGTTTTGAACCCAGTTCACTTCCTCAGTATAGTTTATTTTATAACTTAACACCAGCTGGAAGGCAGAGCTGAAGAAGCTGCTGAAGGACAAACCCAGCACTGAGAGTACAGGGACTGCTTAAACTGCTACCAAAAGAAATGCTTGTCAAGCAACAGCTTCAGCACTTTTGCAGCCAACTTTCCAACATGGTACTCCTTGTCTGTCTCAACACTTCAAATAAACAGGGAACTAAAAAGAGGATTGTTTTGATTGTGTTGTATCCTTCTGTATCTGATTACTAACACCTGCTGCAAAGTTTGAACTGTGGCTTTCTACAAAATAGAATCCAAACAAGGACACAAGTATATCACCACACTATACACAACTAGACATCTACTATAAACCTGAGCTAGCTTAGAGCAGGATATCTAAAAGGCAAATACTCCAAGTCAGCAGTAAAAATAACTTTGTCATTGGATTGCTTGCAAATCTCTTACCTGAGCAAGATCACATTTTTGCGATAAAATAATGAAAGGATTTTCTCAGAGAGCATACAATGAAACTGTGCTAGAAATAGGGAATATTTAAAAAACCCAAAGACTGAGTGGTGTATCTGCTTAGATTCTTTTCTACTTGATGAAAAAAAAATATATTAGTTGTAATATTTCTAATAGAAAAAAGATTTCATTTTTTGTTTCTCCCCCCACACATTAGACCAAACTGATTTTATACTATTACATATACAGGACCTGATCAATTGAGTCTTTCTGTTGCTCTGTATGGGCAAAGAAGAAACCTCTTTCCCATTTTACAAGCGAGAGAGCAATCATGTCATTACATAAACTCTGTCGCTGAGGAACATTTTTTTCACTTCTGGGGCTCTAGGTGCATATCCAGTCACACTTCCATGCAATGACAACAAGAAACCCACAAACATATCTTTCTTTCTGGGAAGAACTTGGCATGCTGGCTGGGAGGAAAACAGTGCTTGCTCCCAGGCCTCACCAATGAAGATCAGCCTCACATCAGTCTGCACACAGATGAAGAACATAAAGAGGAAATGTCTGTGTTCTCAGAGAACACAGTAGACAGTAAGAAATATATGCCAAACATAAAATAAATGGGGAAAGAAGCACCTCAAATGAGCCAATATTAATTTCTGTACATGTGCTCTTTACAATCCTTTTTTGAATAAGGAGATATTGTTCTGTACCGTTCCCAGTCAGGTCTGGCTGCCAATTAGAGCCAGCCTTCTCAGCACATAGCTGTGTCTTTCAAGCAACACAAATGATGATGGCTCTTCCTGAGAGTCAGTACTGATGCCATTTCTTCACAGAAGACAGCAACAGTGAAATTTACTGTTTGCCATCACTTCACCTTAATTTTCTTGTTTTTTTCCTATTGACATAAATTTTCAATGAGTATATAGCTTCAAACATTACCTTCATGTCTATTTCTGTGCCATGGATCTGCTGAGCTACTGTTTTGATGATGCCAATGACAATATCCTGCAGACCTTCTCTTTCAGAATAATAATGCAGAATGAGTCCCTTCCCCTTCTCTGCATCCGTGCATCTGAAGGAAGGGGCTCGCATTCCCGGGTAAATTGTAGCAAGGTGGTCATGCAGAGCATCCAGGTTCTGGAAGGAAAAATTAAAAACATGATTATAAGGCATTCACTTACTATTTATGAAGAAAGTAAGCACATATTTTATCCAATCTGAAAATCCCCTTTCTCCTAGTGCTCATACTTCTACACATTTGCCTTATTCTCTGTAGAACTGCCATCACAGCAGGCTTTTCAGGTAGCCCAAAATGTTATATCCACCATGGCAACATTTGAACAATGAGTGGCATAAAAATAAGGACTATTATAAATTACTCCAGATAGTAAGAAGTCGTGCTTGATTATGCTGTATTTTGAGACATTCAGATGATTAAAGACCTTCTGTGTGTTTCTCATTCTGGTACCTCATCCAGTTTCATTCCTTCTAATTCTTGTCTCTATAATCTACTCTTCAAATATGAGTTCAGGAGCCAAATACAAATAAGCATGTCTAAATAAACATAAATCTTTGTCCTTATTATCAGTGCAAAACCCTAGTTCTGACACCATAAAATCAAGTTTACAGGGCCTGACAAAGTTCAAATTTTAAAGTAAAGATTTAAATGCTTGAAAGACCAAACTTAAATATATCTTTTCTTCTGACAATAATTTAAAAACTCCACAAAATAAACAGAAATAGCATAGCTGTTGTAATAATTTATCAGGAAAAGTTGTTCAAAAAAGGGAAGAGATTTTTTTTCCCTGCTATTCTCCCAGATATCTCACATATTTAACTTTACATTTCAACCAGACAAATTGTGATATGGAGAGGAAAGCTAAATTATAAACTGATAGACATACCAATCAGGATATTAAAGAGAACAGTGAGATCAAAATCACACTTAAAACACAACACTTGATTCAACTTTGATTGTGAAGCAATTATCAAGGATCCAAGTTGCTATTTACTGTACATTTAACATAGAAAGAGAAACCTAGTTTGCAGGATAGAGTTGCAACCCACAATTTTTTATTTATGCTCTAAAATTCATACAACTCTTTGCATCTTAAGTCCAGAACATTACTGCATATTTTAAATGTTGTTCTCTCACTGCCCTGCAAGTGAGTGCTATCAGCAGGCTTTGCATATTGTTTTCTGCCAACATAGGAAGTGAAGTGAAAATATTTTCAATGTGCTGTCTGGGAAATTCTCCACCTTTCACGAGCATCTGTCGATCATCAATTTGTGGAGGCACACTGAACTTGATTTCATGTGAGCTGTGAAGTGCTTGAACAGCTGCCTTTTCTCTTGGAGACCTCCAGACAAAATGACACTCTTAGCAATGAATTCCGTGGGATGCACTTAGCCTGGAATTTCCTCCTTCAGTTTTTCAGCTTGTTTCAAATTCATGTTTTTGTTGCTATATCAACATCTCCAAATTAGAACATGAAGAGGCAACAATCTGGGTGTCAATTCATTCCAGCTGTTAGTGGGCACTGACAAAAAACCACAATGATTGAAGGCAAATTCTGTAAGAATTTTGCAGGGTTCAAGATAATGAAATTGGAAGAGACTGCTTTGAAAGAGTGTGGATGAGAAAAGAGCAAGAGGGATGACTGACTCTGAAAGATTGCCCCACCATCTCCTTCAATGGATGCAGAGCTGCAGTTTCAGTAGATATGCCTCAGAAACAGCTGGGATATATTGACCTTTTGGAGAAAAACTCCCAGGGAGATACATGGGAAAAGACAATAATCTTTCAGTTACACAGTCACCAGCGGAAGAATTTCAAACAGGGAACAGCCAATGTCAAGGACAGGATTTTTGTAAAATGATTGCCTAAGTATCAACATTTAAAGTAAAGATTTGGCACAAGTGTGACTAACAACTGGCAGTAGCCCCACTCTGCAAAACCACTTTGCCACCCTTCCACTGCTTTATGGCCGACTCTGTCAGAGCAGTGTCACAGGTGATGTCCATGTGATGTGTCCTTCAGCTTTTACTCTCTAATCTTCCAGAATGGGGACTTACAGCTCACTGTATTCAAAACCTCGCTCCGAGACATAATGAAGGAGTAGACACGTTTTTCCAGATCATGGAGCTGAAATCACTCCTAGACCTAGACACTGTCATTGTTACTCCTACTCCTATTTCTTTGTTGTGCTCGATCCATTTCAAATTGATATTGCACATTCTGAAAGAATGAATGTCTTTTTTTCCTGTATGTTCACCTGCTGTGAGCCAGAGGTGAGGTCAGGTAAATGTCATAATAGGCTAAGTTCTCTCCCTAAATTCTTGGCTCCTAGACTGCTCAGATGTATGCCAGAGCTTGTGCTGGGACCAAAGAACAATTCCAGAGTTATGAGTGATCAGAACAGTGATCAGCTCCATGGAGAAACACAAGGGAATCTCCAGGAAAGAACAAGGAGTCAAATTAATGGGGCTGATCCTGGTCTGTCTAAAAGTGAGAGCTGTGGTTGGCACCTGAAATACAAAGATATGCTGTTCAGTGCTGTGTGGTACACAGCACTTGGAGACTTATCTAAAAGAGGAGTTAATCCCCTGAATTTCAATGCACTGAAGTATGAAAGCCTCAATAGCCATGTAAACAATTCCTTAAATGGGAGAACTAACCACTTTGATTTTCATTCAATAGAAAGTTACTAAACTGAACATAAAAGCACACTTTGGGTTCTTAGGAGGTACCTCTTTTCACATTGCTTCTCTTTGGCACAGTGTCTTTCAACATGATTTGAAAATTTTCCATGCTTGAGTTTTTCACATAAAGTATAAATATTTTATTTAGTTGCCCTTTTTATTTTCCTCTTTCATGAAGCTTGAAGTACCTGTGTTTCAACTATGAATAAACTAAATTTTCTTGAGATGTCAAAGGAAATGGAATATAAAGGTGAGATTTATTTTTATATATTTTAAAAAGCTGCAGTTCCCAATTATTTTGTATATATCCTGGACTCCGTATACATTTCAAGAAGCACCTTTTGGAACTCTTTTATGTTAAGAATCTAAGAAAAGTTTGGGACATTGAAGCCAATCTGCACCTATTTTTGTAACAGGTATATAAAGTAGTTTCCTGACCTATTATGACTGCTGGAAGATGTAAAAGTAATAAATCACAGGTAATGTTGATTTTCCATTGCAATAAAAAGCTAAAAAAATACACCTCTGGCACAGCTACTAATATGCTAGTCCTGTTAACATTTAGAGAAGTATAAAATAGCCAATGTCATCTGTTAACACTGAAATTCAAACAAAGAAACTTAAAATACTGTCATTAGAAGAATATAAATGTAAGCTGTTTCCACTTTTGTAGATGTTTGGTGTGTATAACAACCATGTCCAGTCCTTCCACCAGCACACATGGTAAGGAATGAAAAGAGAAGTATATGGAAAAGGGCATGAGGGAAAGCAAACAGAATCTGTATTTCTGGCCCATACATGAGCAACCAAAGTTACTCCTGTATAAAACCAAAGTATCTGAAGGCTTGCTTTGAAGGCAGCCGGTGAATGAAGCTATGAAATAAAAAGGATGTCACATCCCACAGCAGTTTACAGATTGCTCATGATATGCTGGAACATCCACATACTCTCTGTTCTGCCCAGCAACTACAGTTTGTGGGATTTGTACAAGAAGTTTGGGTTGACTGCATCTAGGATGCTCTGGAATGATGCAGGTTTTGGGGCTGTGAGACACAGAAGTAAATATTCAAGTAATCCAACAAACTATGATTCTGCTGTTTCCCTTAATGCTGGAGAGATTTTAAGGGTACAGATGACAAGAGGTTGCTATATATTCAGAGAAAATCAAGAATTTATCAATCTCTTAATCAATAACTTTATATATATATCAATATCTAAAATCAATAACTTTATCAAGATAGTCAGCTTTTGGGCATTCTCCAGTTCAATTCTTTTAACCTCATTACAGCACACAGTTCTCTCTAAGAGTCATGTAGATCACAAATCCTAAATACAAAGTGCTTACAGAAGTGAACAATCTTCAGGTGACAAAAAGGCCATTTTTCTACACCTAGAAATAACACTCTAGAGAAGACCCTACATTTCTTCCATGCTATTAAAGAATAATTTTAATTTTGTTTGTGTTTATAATGCAGTATTATGCTGTTCTGCAGTATCCCACCCTCAGTTCATGGATGAAGGATAACATCTTAAGAGATAAGCTGTTATGAGCCCTAGCTCTGTACATAACATACTATTAGAAATATCCAGTATCTATGATTAGTCAGAGATAACAGAAGAAATACCATAAAACCTGAAGATCACATTTTCTGTTAAAATAAATAAGGTAAGTCTACTTAACACAGGCCACCCCTGCAATCCGTAGCATATGAATACTCCTGTTGCAAATTTCTCTTTGGAATTTCAAATTAAATTTCTTTTGACTAGGCAACAGTTCTGTCTGGTATCTGAAACAATTTTGCACAAAATTCTTACCTGCAAAAACTCTCTGACATTTGAGCCCAAGACACGTAGAATTGTATCATAACCAGATTCTTGACAAAACACAAAAAACATCTTCCCAAACATTTGAAGAATTTCCCCAGCATTTAAATCTAGTTAAAACAGGAAAAATATGATTCAGTCCAAACACTGTATTTCATGCACTTACTTATTTCTTTACTCTTGCATTCATAAACAAGAAAGACAGTACCGAAACACTACCCAGATCCAGTAGGTCAAGAACAAAGCAAGATTCAGGGTTCATATGGCAAATAAAGAGTATCCAATACAGGAATTTCATTAAGATTTACCAATTACTATTATTATTTCACCACACTGTGCATTTCACACATGTTTAGCATTTAGATTTTGATACAGAAAAATGAATCACTTCTTGAAAATAAAGGAACTTGGTTGTTAGTAATGCTTGCCTCAGCAGAGTTAATTCCAATTTACAAAAGCATGAAACCACATCAGCTGCTCCAATTCAACATTACTACAGTCATCAGTCTTACAGATTCTTGGCTAATTACTGATGCAAAACAATTTCATACCGCACTTGGGCCTGCAGATAAAATAATGCTGATGGGCATAATTCTACCTTTTAAATTCTAGACCAGAGCTGCAATGATTGAAAATGAATGCAACCCAAATCAATGGCTGATATGCAACTAAATGCAATGCCACAAGCATTTCTGTGACTCAGCACTGTTCTTCAGCAGAGATCAAGGATTCATTCATTCATTCATTCACTGCTCTTGCAGCAGTGATTGAAAGTTGCAGTTGCAGCAGGATGTTGTTACTTCACGACTGCTTGTTACACTGCCCATGTTGTGTGGATGAGGTATATTTCTTCAGTTTAAGATAGAATACTTTGGAAATAATAAAAATAATTTCAAGCAATAAAAGAAGTAAATTTTTCTTAGAGAAATAAAGAAATACAATTCTCTCTCCTAAGATTTAAAAAAAATTCTGAGACCAATACTCCATTTTCATTTCCCCTGTGCAAAATCCTGTTCCTCTCTGCTGCACAGGTTTGGGGGGCAGGAGGATATTACCTTTTTTGTGATGAATAGGTAAAGAAGATATCTGCATTACTTACTAAGGACCTTGCTTGCAGCTGCAACGAGGTCATAGGTTTTGGAATCATCGTAAATTATTCTGACCAGAAACTGTCCCTCTTCATCCAGCTGCGCCTCCTTCCTAAAAAGAAAACAGAATAAAATCTGTTTGCTTGAGGGAAAAGCACCATATGGATAAAAGTCTTTTAAAACAAGTAAGCTTGTATAGTTATTTAAGACAGAAAATTAGAAATAAATTTGTTCCATATCCCAGTCATTAGTGTACAATACAAATATTTCAGACCACAAGTGCTCTGAAAATAATAATTAGCTACAAGAAAATAAACATGATTTTTCAGTACAGAGCCTCAAAAAGAAGTTGCTGTACTAGTAAAGACAAAATCTGCATTTTAAAATAAGAGACTAACCAATAATGCAGCCCATGATGGGCTCTTTAAACACTTTTTGCTTTTTCATTCCATCACATTTTAGTTACACTTTATTTACAGAAGGCGTGGGATGTTTCTAACAACCATTTGCAGATACGTCCAAAGAGGAATTTAAAATACAGATGCAGGTACCAAACCAAATATCTTTTTTCAGAATTTTGCACATGCCAAGCAGATAGGAAGAAAAAGGATGCTAGGATTTTGCAAGGCCTTGTTCTCATATCACACACCTATTCTCACGTGTAAAAGATCACCACTTAGCTAAAGCAGAATAAAAATACACGTTTCTTCACTAAAGGAAACAACTCTCTGCCCTAGGTTTAAGACAAGACTCATATATATGTCCTGTGCACACTTACACCAAGTAAAAAACCAAAACAAAATGACTGCTTTGTTTTTCATGTCCTTTACTATTCTCTTCAACTTGAACATCAAGTCAGCAGCTTGTCCAAAAGGCAGCACAAATCTGGAGGGTCTATTGTTTTACTGAGGAAAACAAGTTGATCCCCCAGATAATGAATGTGCCTCCCAAGCTTTGCATCTGGCACAAGTGAGTTACTAGGCAGGACCCACATGTGCCTTCCTCCCTGTTTTACCCTGTCTGCACGGCACAGGAGCCCAGCCACTGGTGCTGCAGGAGTGGTGAGTCCCAGCTCCTGGAGCACCTCCATGGGCAGGCAGACCCCAGGACACTGAAGAGGCAGCTCCCATGGGGTTGGTCCTGCTGTGCACAGAGCATGCCAATGGACATGGCCCTGTCTCTGCCCAGTTTCATGTAAAGCAGCATTCTGTATTTGCTCTTATTTCCCTTGCAAATTTTTCTTCAGCAAATGAGGAGATGTGCAGAGAGGCCTGCTGTGTTCTCTGATGAAGTCGTGCCCTGTTTATCGAAGTCCTCATCTGGAAAATGAGCACAGCCTCCTTTCTCAGGGTGCTTTTTAAAATAGGTACTCACCTCCTGTGGTGTTGCCTACTATGACTCTCTATAGAGACACTGTGCTTTGCAGAAATAATGATGAAAGAGGAGACATTTGTAAGTACTCATGCTCTAATTGATGTACTTAGAATATATTTTGGCTCAGCAAAACTAATATGATCACAGCATCATTACTATATTTGCAGGTGGAGGGTCACAGCTACCTCATTAAAAAGAAATTATACCCTTTCATCTAAATGTATCTCTACGCTGCAGTTCATTTCAGGAAGTCAAAAGAAAGGCAAAGAGACAGGAAAGCCTTGAAGTGAATTACTGAATCACATCTTGCATCACACCAAAAAAAAAAAAAATTAATATACGATGTTGCTCTTTAGAAAAATACCCTCAGAATTAGAAAAACTATAAAAAAGGCAGATTATGAGGTAGGTTCTTAAAAAATTCTAAGGACAAGGGATGCAAATCAAGACATTCCTCAACTTGGTAGTAGTATAATTATTTTTCTAATGTACAAATTAAAGAGGACAGTGAGTAAACAATTATTTACTAGTACCATGGTAATGAAGAGCTTTTACCAGAGTATGACTGGTAAATTGAGTAAATACAAAGAAATGCTCTTTGAGATATGGCTCAAGCATACAGAGCCAATATTTCTAACTTCTGAATTTTTCTGGGTCACCAGAGGAATTACAAAGACCTACAAAAAGTAGAATTCTAAATCTACTATGTAAAACCCTGCATCCCCTGTCATATCAAACACTTTCTCTCCATTATCATAACATAATCACCCATAAATTAAAATCAAATTCTTTGACTGTAACTCAGGTTTTAATTTCCTAAAATGGTGTCATTGATTTTAAAAGTTAATTAATACTAAATAATAATGCCTGCAGAACAATTCAAGCATTTACAGATGTAGTGGAATTATCCACCCATAGAAACAGAAACATTTCCTAAGGTACTCAAAGGGAAGAGGTCTGAGAATTAAGTACTCTGGTTGATCTTATAACTGCTAGATAGCAAATGGTTCTGCTGGGAAGGACTGATTGCCATCTCATATGGCAGCATTTTACTGACCTAAGTGAAATGACTTGTCCTCTAACCCTCTAGATTGTAATCATCAGTCTTTGGTAATCTGCTCACTTAATGGATATCTGAAACCCATTATTTTCTTATTCCTCTTCATCTTCCTTTAATCTTGCTCCTCACATTCTTCCCACTGTCCAAAAATTACACAACACTGTTTTTATATTATTTTAAAAATATATAAAAATATATTATTTATTAATACCAGAAGTATTGAAACTGTTACTTGACATAAACATTTTTATACTCACTCTAAGAATGATGAACTGAACACAAGCTAAGCAATTTTCCTAAAGGAAAATGACAAGGTTATAGGGGAGGTGTGACTAAATGTACCTCATAATTCCACCTAAAAGAAACATCATTCTCTATCCAATGACATGAAAAATCTTATAATCACCTTAATTAAGCAGTGTCTTAAGCAGGAAGAGAGGTGGGAAATGATGTCTTGAAACATAAGAGATCAATCAGGGACAGGAAGGTAAAGTTTACAACTCCTAAGAACAGAACTGAAATGAATATGAGAAAAGAAAACCATCTTGATTTTTTGGTTCTCATAACATGGTCTGTAACAAGCCAGCTACAGTTTGGAAGGATGTTTGCAAAGGGTGAACAAACTTTCCCACATCTCTGATACATGCTGTGCTTTCTTTTAGTCTCTCTGATCTGAGCCAAACCACAAAGGATAATACACACATCTGGAAAAGCAATGAACATCCTCAAAAATACTGCATACTTACACAGTTCAGTAGACACAGCTTTTCTGTGTGAGAATTTTCTCTATGAAAAATTGACCCAGTTTGATGTTGGTATCTCTTTCAAAACTTCTTGCATTTTTTTCCAACTACATTGACTGGAACTTTTCCTGTTTACTTCTCTGTGCCAAGCTATGCTTCTTTTTTTCTTATTTTATTTGTCTTTAGTTTACTTTGTCAAAGTTTTTCTTCAATATTTGCAATTTCTCTGAGACACCACTTTTTAAAATCACCCCTGGTTATTTCAGTTATTTCATTCTATTCCATTTAATTATTTTAACTATTTTTTCCTAGTTTACTCTAGATGCTTTGGATCACTCAGTAGCCATCTTCTCTGTAGCCTTACTGATGTATTTCCCACTAAAAATATTTTTAAGTTGAGCAAAATTTTCTAGAAAATTTGTCAAAGTAAATATTTACTCCTGCAGGGGATTACACTTCTTGGTCACTTCTCATGCAGGCAAAAATTTCTTTGCTTGTTCTACAAATATAGCAAATATGACAATGGCTAATCTAAGACTGTGTCAAAAGATAAACTGCCTTTTTAAGATGCATACTTGAAAATTATTAAATTTCAGAACTTTCTTCTTCCATTCCAAGTCCATTCCTTCATACTCCTGAGCTCTGTTGTGCTGGTGCATCCCAGCAATTTAAACAGGTGTTGAGCTGAAATAAAATTCAGTTAGATATCTGTTTTTCTGTATTATTTTTCTGCTAGATGAATTTCCCTGTCTGCTCCATCACCTTTTCCCAGAAGTTGCTCTGCATACAAACCACACACAGGCACAGTGCTTGTGGACAGGCTTCCGAAACCTTTCTGCTTCCCTCAGTAATCTAACAGCAGTGAGAGCTTCCAAAAGTCTTTCTCTCTGGAGTACTACTCTTAAGACTATATGTGATGGGAAAATGCTGCTGTGAGTTTATCCAAAATGGCCACTGCAAAGTGAAAGCAATCCTACTTTTTCAGAGGAACTGGTCCTTCAACAAGGGTTTCCAAAGAACTTGTCTGAGAGAGCCTCACAGCTGGCAGCACCAGAGGCTGAGCATGACTAACCTCCAGCAGCCCAGGAAACAGGGCAGTGGCATTCAGGTGAACACCTAAAATTGTTTCCCCAAGGCTGCAGTTGTCACAGTTCATTTCCTGACCCTACCTGATTTCTCAAAGCTGCCTGCACTTACGCTAAGGAAATGGTTTTATAACAAGGGTGATAGGAAGAAATATATGATAGTGTCATAATTAGAATTAATGTTAAGAGTGAGGCTGCTTTTTCAGCTTTGCAGAGCTGCTGTGGTCAGCTGTCCATAACCTGTAATTCCTTACATTTGTATTTGGCTGACCACATTTTAGAGAAAACTTCACAATCCATAGCTTTACAAAAAAAAAACCCAAAAAAAACTGTGGCATTTCCCTTGAAATGTTTTGCTGCAATCTTAAGTTACAGGTTTTGACCAGATAAAATTGTGGGAGGAAATTAGCATAGTTCTAATGTTTTCTACAGACTGTGGTGTTTGATCACAAAGACATTAACAGCAATAACATGTTGGTAGCTTTCTTAAGAACTTGACTGGAAATGAGCCAAAAGCAACAAGCTCTGGCAAATTCCCAAGCCCTGCTTATTTCTTTAGTGAAGAAGCAGTATTACAGTAGCAAACTTCTAACTTTTATATGGCTGTTCTTTCAAAATAAGTTTCAAGTCAAATAGAACAGAATTTACAATTAATGTCTCATTGACATTCATTGAGACAAAAGTGTGGGTTTTGCTCCCCTATAAATTTATGTTCAAAATGTTAAAACACCCCAGGATTTTAAAGCTCTTCCCAAACTGATTCCTGTCACACGAGATGTGATGTTTCATGGTTCAAAACTTACATCCTATGACATGCCTGCCCTAACTTCTACAGTCTGGCAGCCCTTTTT